ACTTGGGTTGTTTCCAAGATCTGGCGATTACAAATTGTGCTGCTATAAACATAGGTGCACATATATCACTGTGGTATGATGCTTTCAGTTCTTCTGGGAATATGCCTAGAAGTGGAATAGCTGGAATAAATGGGATTTCCAATCCCAACTTTTTGAGAAATCTCCAGACAGATCTCCACAAAGGCTGTACCAGTCTGCACTCCCACCAACAGTGCAGGAGAGTTCCTTTTTCCCCACAACCTCTCCAGCATTTGTTGTTGGTTTTCTTGATCCTGGCCATTCTTTCAGGAGTGAGATGGTATCTCAGTGTGGTTTTAATTTGCATTTCTCTAATGACCAATGATGATGAGCATTTTTTCATGTATTTATTTGCCATTTGCATTTCTTCATCTGAGAATTGCGTATTCATCTCAGATGCCCATTTTTGGATTGGATCTTTGAATTTTGGAGGTCTGAGTTTTTTTAATTCTTTATATGTTTTAGACAAGAGGCCCTTGTCTGAGAGAGAGTTCACTAAAATCTTTTCCCAGTTTGTGGGTTTTCTTTTCACTATGCTGGAGATTTCTTTTGACATGCAGAAACTTTTTAATAAGAAGTGGTCCCAGTTATTGATTCTGGGAAGTATTTCCCGTGCGGTTTGAGTCCTGTTCATGAATTCTTTACCTACTCCTATATCTCCAAGGTTTCTACCTAATTTGTCTTCCAATAGATTTAGTGTTTCTGTTTTAATATTCAGATCTTTGACTCATTTAGATTTTAATTTAGTACATGGTGATAGACATGGGTCTAGCTTTGAATATTTTTATTCTTAAGGTAATCATTATAAGACCCTTCTAAAGAAAAATAATATCTTTCATTTTTAATAAAATATTTGAAACCATCATAAGTTATTGAATTTAGGAAGTTAAATTTTGCTTCCATGTGAGTTAAAATACTTCCTTTGATTTTGCTTTTTATTTATATATTTTAGACATGTTTTAAAACATAGGCATGAGATTTTTCTGCCTTTTTATTGGTATATGTTCTCACAGTATCTTTCCGTGTACAAATGGTTTTTCAATATCCTTTTTCAGAGTATTGTAGATTTTATTATAGCAGTTTTCATTTCCTTGGTTAGGTTTATGCCCAGGTATTTAATTCTCTTTTTAAAGCTATTGTGAATGAGGTTATTTTCGTGATTTCTTACTTGATGGATTCATTGTCGATGTACTGAAATACTATTGATTTTTTTGGTGTGTTTTTCTCTTGTAACCTGCCAGTTTGCTGAATTTATTCATTCTAAGTCTTCTGCTAGAATTTCTTGTGTCTTCCGTGTAAAAGATCTTGTTTTCTGTGAATAAGGATCGTTTGAATTCTTCCTTTTGTTTTGTTTGTTTTGTATGCTTTTTCTTGCCTGATTGCTTGCAAAAGTTTTGAGTACTGTGGTGAACAGTAGTGATGATAGTGAACACCCTTGTCCTGATTCTCATTTCAGAGGAAATATTTTCAATTTTTCCCTGATAAGTATGATGTTGCCAGTGAGTTTGTTATAAATGGCTTTTATTAGTTAAGAGTAGGATCTTTCCATACTTATTTTATCATCAATGTTTTTATCATCAATGGACCTTGGATTTTGTATAAGGATTTCTGCATCTATTCAGATGATCATATGTTGGGTTGTGATAATTTTGTATCTTTAACTTAAATACAAATATTGTCTTAATAATAATCTCAATAATAATTTTTATCTTTCCCTCTTATCTCCAAATAAACTTAATTTTTAATTACTGAATAATAAACAGTTGGAAGACCATGGCTATCTTAATCACTGTAATATTATTACATTCTTAATTAAAAATTAATATCTTTATATTGTTAAGAGGAGGAGTAAGAATATAATCTGTTCTGATACAATGAAGTTTTGAATATGTTATTAATTTAAGGAAATTTATTTGAAAATTCAAAAGGACCACAAGAAGTGCTATTTCTAGAGGTTTAAAAGGAAGTTAGATCCCCTCTTTTTTTGCTTTCCACAAATTATATCCTACACTATTTGGATGGCAAAACATTTTGTTCTATTATTTGAAAACTCAAAAGACTTACTATTAAAATACAATTTTCTTAGAATCAAATATTTATGTGAATAAATTATAATTTTAAAATGTTCTTATAGAAATTTATACATTCACATTATTGATCACCAGAATGAGGACTGAATACACTATTTTGGCATCACATACTTGATAGTTTGAGTAATCATTTTGGCAGTTTCTTCTGATTCTTAGCCTGTGCATACATTACTTGGATATAATCCATCTTATTATAATATAAAAACTATTGAATAGTTACCAGTGTATCCACTGAGATTATAATGTATCAGTCTTGGCTAAATCCAGTCTCATTAAGTAAACCCATTGAATTAAAAATAAGCAATTTGTGAACCATGGAGGTTTAAAGTAATTAGTAACTTATTCAGGTCTCTCCTTGGAGTTTCCTGGTTTTAGGAGAAATCTTGTGTTTGCATATGCTTCATTTAATGAATGGCTATTTTAGTTCATTTTTAGATACTTCTTATTAAATTAATACTTTAGTTCTAGCAAAGCCTGCGAATTTCTATGTTTTTCATTTAATAAATTATTTTTCATTATATTGTGTTTTAAGTTGTATGAAGGACAGAGGGGCTCGATTGTAGCTTAATGATAGAATGCATGCTTAGTATGTATGAGGCTCTAGGTTCAGTCCCAGAATCCAAACAAACGAAAGCAGTCAACACACAGACAGACAGACAGACAGACACACACACACACACACACACACACACACACACACACAGATGTTAAGGTTGAAAGATTACTGAATTTTTGCAGATCTTGGTGAGACTCTCCATTATGTATAAGTTTAATTCTTATTTTGAATATATTGGACAATAAGCTCTACTTACATTATGAATCTATTTGTATGTTAGATCTTTTAAAGTAAATAAGAAGTAATAGCTTATTTTGTAAAAGGTTCGACAATTACACTTTTAAGTACATCTGCTACATTTGAAGCATGTTATATGTATATACCTAATGTAAAAATATATGTATATGTAAAAAATTACATTTGATTTTAAAATTTATTATGAGAGAAACCAGTCATCATGCAAACTTTGTAAAAGGAACATTGTTTCTTCACTTTCAGTTATTGTTAGGCACAAGCCGACCTTTCAGATTGTACAGTTGTTGCCATTTAGCTGTTGTTTGAGATAGATTTGAGAGTCAGCTAAAGATCTTGGTTTCTGGACACTGAAAGGATAGCCCATGCAAATGACCCCACGCTCACTTGTCTGGCTCTCAGTTTGTACGATTTCCAAAGGAAGTTGAATCCCCAGCATGAGTGGCTAGGAAAGGCTTCAGAAGGTCTGTGCCGCAAACAGGACAGTGGGTATCCCGGTGAGAACTTCAGCCTGTGGAATACATCAGAAGTTACCAGACAGCCAGGGAAGTGGAAAAGAGCACAGTGGTTGGAACATGTTAGAATAATATTGAACGTAATTCTAATTTTATTGTAAACTGAAAGTTTTACAGACCCCAGTGCAAAGCAGCGCTATTTGGTAATGTGTTCAAAGATTAAAGTCTAATAACACTTAATATGTGGTTATTTGGACACTAATGGAAAGACTATGGGAACCAGATTACGGAAAAATGAATGCCAAGTCATCTATGTCCGCTCAGAACTTAATAAAATAAATCATTTGAGAGAGAAAACACCACATTGGGTAAAGTTTCAGAGTCTCCTGACCACCTTGAATATTTTTGTGTCTTTCCCTTGTTGTACTGGCTGTTGCTATTTGATGACATTCAGGGGAGACAAATGAAAGCCATCACTGTGATTGGTGCTGACCTTGGCCTCTGTCGTCCCTTTTTCTATCTTGGAATCTTTGGCTGGCACGAACTGTCCTGCCTGTAAAGGTTGCTTACAAGTTATGTCATTATTTTCTACCTGCTGTTAGGCAGACAGCTGTGAAGTATTTGCTGGTGGCATTTGCGAATCCATGTGAACGTTACGGTGAGGAATCGAGTAAGACAGTTAAATGTCACCTCTCCAAGAAAATATTTTTCTGTGTTTTTGTTCCTGTAAATTATAAGGAATGGCAGGATTTAATAACATAAATATATTTTAATGGAAATTAACTTCATTCTGAAACAAAAATACAGCAACAAAAGAAAGAACGTCTTACATGTTGGTAAGTCTTTTCTATGTGTAACTTAATAGAAGACAACTGTATTCTCAAATCCACTTCTGCTGGATCTGTCATTGTATGTTGTCTGATTTGAAAAACAAATAAAATCTGACCTCAAGAGTATGCAATGGGAAAAGAAAGGAGCATTTTGATGCCTTTCAGATAATTGTAGAATTTTTTTCTCTGATACTGCATCAAAGTGTGACAAGTTTCTTCAAGGTTAGTTGCAGTGTAGAACCAAAACGCTATCAGTGAGTGTGTGTTTTAACCATGGGCCTTGATGATGGCTTGGCATCTGCATCTTTCCATTCATTGCAGCTTAGGTAAATACACGTAATGTGCTCCATTGACTTGTTTTTATTTTTATTGTGTTGATCGTTAAAGATTAGAGAAATGTTCTGTGTGGCAAAGGCTGTCTCTGAAACCTGGAAAATTACTTACATGAAATATTAGAATAGCAAAATAAATTGGAGATTGTGAATGTGTGATTGAAAAGAAAATTCCTAAAATGTCATTCTGTGTTGCTACGGAAAGTTGAATGATATTTTTGGACATAGAGAAAATAAGTATTAATTACTTTGTGGTAATGACTTTTATTTTCATGTATAGTATTAATGTGTGTTAGAAATGTTTCATTGAATGCTAACTGCATTCAATATATAAAAGTTTCTTTAATTTTTCAACTTTTATATTTTTTTATACAAAAGAAAAGATATTTTTCAGTTACTTGGGGACTTCACAGATTAAATAATCATGTTGACGTTATATTGCATTTTCTTCATTGGTCTTTACTCAGCGGATTTCCATAGCAGTGGACATATTGTTGTTAATGGGTGGAAGATACATAATACAGCAAAAAATAAATGGTTTGTGTGCATGACAAAAACACCAGAAGAAAAGCACGAATGGTTTGAAGCAATTTTGAAAGAAAGAGAACGACGAAAAGGTGGGTACTTGAATTTGGCACTGTTACTCTTTGTGGAGTTTCTAACTCGGCACAAGATCAGATGATGGAGTTATGAGAACTGGATTGGTGGATGGTGTTCACTTCGATTTACTATAGGATGTAAGCATCATACTAAAGAGGCTGTGTAAATTTTGTATAGTTGGTAACATAATTAAGTATGGCTGGCAATGTCTTCATTTCACTTGCTTTAAAGTGTGTAAGATTTTCTTCGCATATTATTCTTACCATCTCTAAAGCAGTGTCACAAAGTCTTGCCTTAAGAAACAAACTTCAGTGATACATTACAGTATCATAAGACCTCCAGCAATTATTTTCTATACATTCGAAAATACTCTGAAAATTTGTGGACCAAAAATGTTAATTTCCTAATTACACATTATATATTCCATAGGAGGGGCCCAAGATAAAAATTTGCTACATGCTTTTAAAAAGGTTTTACGAAAATGTTTGTACTGGCAATATTCAGATGTATGAGACATATCTGTAAGAAGACGTATTTTGTACTTTGGCTCTGAAATAGGAATGCCTGTGTTTATTTACCAGTGAATTTTTTTGATTATTGGGAAGCATGGCACTGTTGATTATTTTGGCTGAGTTTCAGAAGTAAAACACCTAATTGGTAATGAAATTTCAGAACACAAAGAACCTTTCTCTTTCTTCAGATGCTTTTCCTTGAAGAATATACGAAGTATCTATTGTTATTAAAGTATTCACAGTATACATTTGTATAAGAATTTCCAAGCATTTTCAAATACTTATTTCTTTGATTCTTCTTGGGGAAAGAACCAGATAGAAATTTTTAAAACAAAATTATGAATGCATAACTGACTCTGAGATCTAGCAATCAATTCAAGTAGCAAAGTAAATTAAAAAGTGAATTAAATGTTTCATTAAGTCAAACCTTTTAGTCTCCCAGAATAGCTATGATCCACACAACACAAAAAATTTGATAGAATAACAATGAAGAAAGCAGATGCTATAAATCATTTATGATATTTATCCTTCTCAAGCTATATTCTTGTGAGATTTTTCAGTGTTGCTGATAAATGTTATGGTTCCTGCATTGTAATACATAAAATTTTAGCAGGAAAGTTTGTAGCTTAGATGACTAAAACTAATCAGAGTATTTCTTCTTCTGCAGCAGTTGATTGCTCAGAGTTGCAGGATTTTAGCTTTGGCACAGGGTTCTAAGTGGATTCCTTGCTTAGGTTGTCTCTATCCATCACATTAATGTCCACTTGTGTACCACCAACTTTTCAATTTTTGTGTGCAGCTCTGTCTTCTCTCCTGGGCTTCGTAGTCATGCTTTATTGACCCCTGGAATCTACTCAGAGTTCTCAGGACTGATGAGTTGCTTTACCCAGCAAGTGGCCCTGGCTTCCTTCTGTCACTCTCAGCATACCTTGGGAAGCATCCTGATTTCTTCTGTTTCATGTCTGTGTATAACCAATAGCCGTGTCCTACCAACACAACCTCCTAGCTCCTTCTCAGTTTTATCTTTTTTGTCTCAGAGCCTTCTTTTGCAGTTTGAAGTTGCCTGAGATTCCACAGGTCCTTCCTAATGGTCTGTCCTGTGAAAACTCTTTCCCTTTCCTACTGTCCTCTGAGCTTAGTTTTTAAAGCACCAAGCTTTTTTCTACACTACCCTTCCTTTCCCCTTTTATGGATTAAAACATTTAGATGTTTCTCTAGAATTTAAGTTAAAAGTGTAAGACACCCAGGGCTCCATATTTCTGTATTGCTTGTCTTTAGTCAAGCTCCTGTGACTACTTTCTCTTTCTGTAAAAATAGCTATTTATGATTCGTATTTGAACATGGCCCTTCTGAGTAAGATTTCTTAACATTTTTTAGGAAGTGGTGCCCTGAATATGCCTTTATTGTATCACAGTTTCCTCCATGTCTGCAGGATTGTCTCTGGGGCTGCTTTGTCCAATTATGCTAACTATCTGCTGCTCCTACTCCATTGGCTAAACCGTGTACCTTTGGGGCACAGTAACACAGAGTGTTTTAAGCCCTGGGGATCTTGCCTTGGCTAAGTCTCTGGTATGTCATGAACTTCTTGAATATGAGTTCAGTCTTACAGAGCTCTGTATCCACAAGCTTTAGCATGTGGTAGACACACAGTTAATGTTTGTTTAAAGCATAAGCACATCAATGAGGAGACTTTTCCCATTATTGACCGTTTCTCTAATTTTTGATAGGTTTAAAATTAGGAATGGAGCAAGACACCTGGGTAATGATCTCTGAACAGGGTGAGAAGCTTTATAAAATGATGTGCAAGCAAGGAAATCTAATCAAAGACAGAAAAAGAAAACTGACAACATTCCCTAAATGCTTCCTTGGAAGGTAGGATATTTATTATCTCACATGTTGACTCTATTTAATTGTTTCTTTCTCCTTTAAAAATATCTTCCTAAGCATTTTTGAGTAATTATTTATGGTTTATATTTCCCGGACCTTTGTAGGATGAGAGACTGAACAGAGAGCTAGGATCCTGACCAGGTAACTTACGACTCCCATCATTTAGCCATGACTTAAATGATGTATCATGTTCTGAGGGTGAAGCAGAGGTTGAGGTTAGGCACTAAGTCATTCAGTACCTGTAGAGGACAGAATGATGTATCTAGCATGGAAATACACACAAGGCTTAAAAGTCAAAGATGACAGGGGATCCACGAAGTTAGAGGTTATTGGAAAATTGAAGGCAAACTGTCCAGTCTGCCAAATAGTTCAGAATTTAGACAATGGGACTGAAGATGAAGAGGTATAGATGAAAAAATCTGAGAAAGTGAGTCGTGTGAATGGCAGGATGCCATAGAATATGAATCATCTGGTTTCTGTATTACAGCCCTAAGTGGGACCCCCGTCTGGTTTAAGTAGTGCTGAGCCGCCAGGAAGGGTAGCTGCTTCAGGTAACCCTTCCTAGCAAGGCTCTGTGTTAACCTCCTTCTGTGCATAACTTCTGATCCTGTAATATGTACTTAGGAGTTAAGTGCCTCTTTCTTTTAAAGGAACAGGAAATGTGGATCAGGAATACAGGAAGTATTATAAGTTCATACAGTCAGTGAATGTCCATGTCAGTTCTGTAAGAGTAGGCTGGAGTTGTAGTTAAAGCCAGACTTTTAATCAGACTGTCTCTGGCTCAGATCTTGGTTCTCCCACTAGCTTTTGTTGGGAAAGTTAAACTTGTGTGATTTGGAGATACTAAATTTTTGTTTTCTCTCAAGAGATGGAGAGATGATTGCAGTGCTTATTTGTAATGTCTATCAGGGTGCCTTCTTAAGTAGCTATGGGTAGTTGCAGCATGACCATAGCCATGTTGGCCTCTAACCCCAATACTAAAAATTGGGCCAGAAAAGCCTCTGCCTGCAGGGCAGCTTGAGCTGTCTTCTAAGGGAATGGCTCTTGCAATGTGCACCGCAGCTGCCCAGCAGTGTAGCTTCTGGTAGTCTGCCAGCTGATAGCTCTTACGCAGAGAAAAGCACAGATCCAGATCCGCTTGTCACAGATGCTGTGTGCAACAGAAGGACAGTGTTGCTGTAAGGAGTCCATGGCTATAACTTCCCAGATCCCCACTGGAATATACCCACATTGGAGAGAGTCACTTCACACTATGGCTTCCTCAAGAGTCTACAGTCCTGTAATATAGCCATCAGGGATCATTTTTACTATAGCAATGCTGATATCTTACTTTCATCAGGTGGTCACATACCTAGGGGAACAAAGCTACCAGGTTATCACCTGGGTTGAATTTATCCTAATTGTATAAAAAGGGGTTTTGCTAACCTTTTCCTCATAGTATCTCATATGATCACAATGCTAGCTAGTACTTGTAAAGCTTTTTCCAGAGGACCTGACACATCAGCTAAGCCTAGGAAGTGTTAGCTGTGGCTTATCTCTAACGCCATGCCAGTGCTGCATGAGAGCCCAAGTTTGAGATCTTTTCTGATCTTTCTGAAATCTCCATTATTTAATAGGTCCCCTGATAAAGCCCCTCTTTAACTTCCTTTCCTACTTTCTCACCCACTTAAAAAAAATCCCAATTTATAGTAATATTTAAATAGATTTACTTACTTGCATTTAACATTTTTAGAAATTTTGTAAAATCAGAATGTGAAACTATGATTTAGCTAGACATCAGCTGTCTCAGCCCACTTGTCAACTGCCGAGAATTATTAAGAGCTCAGTGTGAGCAAGGAAGGTTTTGTGTTAAGTTCCCACTATACATCACCTCATTTAATCTCTTGACAGCCCTGTTACTCTGGTAGTATCTCTATTTTGTTGATGAAAAAATTGAGGTTGAGACAGAGGTCACACAGCTAGTAGAAGAAACAGAATTTGAATCTGGGTTGTCTTACTGCATAGTACGTGATCTTAACCATTAAGATACTTTATTTTATACTCTGTTTTACTTTACTTATCATGTCCTGTTTATCTTTTGTTTCTCTTGTATTTTTCCTTTATTATGTGTCTTTCTTTTGGATGATTCTTATTTAATAAAGTATAAAGCTTCTTTAGCCCCTTTATCAATCTTTCAGGCTTTTCAAGGTGTTTTTTTTTTTTTTTTTTTTTTTTTTTTTTTGAGACAGGGTCTTTCTGGGTAGTTCAGGCTGGCCTTGAACTGCTTGTGCAATCCAGGCTGGCCTAAATTCTAGAATGCTGAGATTAGGTATATGTACCACCACACCTGACAAAATGTATTTCTTAGGCTACTAATCCAGTTGTAGAATGTCATGTCCCTTGTTTATTTGACTTCAGACATTTGTCTTATCTTTGGTTTTGAAGGAAACCAAATTTAGTTCAGAATTTAGACTAATTTCCAGTGCTTTATATAACATTGACTCCCTGGGCTCCATGCAAAAAAGAAAACCAGTCTAAGACAAATTCATCAGATTATATAAAAGTTCAAATGTTAGATGTATAAAAACATGAGCATAGCATATTTTATTTGTAAAACCTCTTTGTATTTAGTGTCCTCTAAATGATACTGTATGATCATTTGCCTTTATATGGAGAGTACATTTATAATTAAAGTGACAATGACATTTTCATTGTGTGCTTATTAGAGGCCTCAACAAGTTGAGTAGCATATTAAATGTTTCAGTATATTAAAAGTTTCAGTATACAGACATGGATTTTCTAGAATACAGTCCAACTTCTTTACGTGTGCTCTCAATGTAGGTGAGAGATCACCTACTGTAATGCATTGAAAATATTCCTTTATGTTTTGAGTCTTGCCTCATAGTTCATTCATGACTAAATGGTACAGATAATCTTCTTAGGTGAGATAGCAGCAGGGTAAGATTTACTATTTTCATTGGTTTTCTGTTGTAGTGAATTTGTGTCCTGGCTGTTGGAAATTGGAGAAATTCACAGACCTGAGGAAGGTGTTCACCTGGGGCAAGCATTGTTAGAAAATGGAATTATTCACCATGGTAATAGTTTTATTACTTTAATTATTTATTAAAGTAATCTAGATATTTTCAAATTGCCTGTGTCTTAATCTACTAAGTTACTTTGCTATCTACCTGTCTGTATCCTAATTCCATTGATCTGTTTAGTTTATAACTTTCTCCATTACAAGATTTTTTTCCCCCCTCTGGCAATTTTAGTACATAATGTATATAGAATAGTGTTTCAAGAAGTGTGGGCTTATCATGACCCAGTTTTTAACATTAAAATGAGGTGCCACAGCACAGGCAGGAGTTAGGAATACAGATAAGGGTTGTGGGGTTGTGAAGGCAGAGATGACTTGTCCTTGGGGTGTGTGCGAGTGCTTTGTGGGGGCAGTAGCTTTAGTGCTGTGCATTGTAGAATGAATGGAACTGTGTTACAGACAGAAGCGTGGTAGGGACAAGCTTTTTAAAGGTGTGTTTATTATTACACGTCTACAGAACACAATAATTACCATGTTTTTTTCTTGACGTACTTGGGCCGTATTTCTTTTCTGAGGAGATGATAATATTCAGGCATAGTAATGGGAATATTCATGATGGCCTTCACAGGAACTAGCAATAGAGTCTCACGTGACCAGATGATATTTTCTATAGACCAGGGTACTGGGAAGGCAGTATGACTGGAGAAGGGAGAAGACCTGCATCTGATCCCAGAGGATCTAAACCCTCTAGCTGTGCTGTGTGGGATCATTCTGAGGTCAGGAGCTGATGAATACTTTAAGCAGTGATTGATCAAACTTTCATTGTGGAGCTTTCACACAGCCTGGTGAATGCAGTGGAAAATACAGGGACTACAGAGCACCAAACCCATCAGCAGGTCCTCCTTTCCTACAGCTGAAGGGCAAGGGCCTTGGCAGAGCTGTACTGATGGCCATGAAAAGAGATTCTGGCCAAATGGAATATTTGATAGTGGAGGATGAAGAATGAAGAGAAAGGTCAGACTGTATGTTGTCTAAATTTTCTGACTTAGATGTTTAAGATTGTTAATTTAGGAAAGGGAATGGGCTTGAAAGAGATGAAGGATTTGCTATGCTCTGGGCGAGACAAGAGGATGGTAGTACCATCAAGAGGCTGTAACAAATAGACAGCTCAGGACAGAAATAAAGTGACTATTTCAGAATTGTATGAAGAGTACTAGATCCCTGAGAACATTAACAGCAATGCAAAAAAAAAAAATAAGAAAGCAGTGGTAACAAGACTAAGAATAAAACTGAAAAAACTTTCTAGTGTAAAATTGGAGGAAAGACAAAAAGAATTATATAAGGTAGATACTTACCTATGGAATCTTTGTGTTCATGTCTTTTTTAAGATATGTGGATGCAAACGGAATGAATCCCTCCCTTCCCTTTTCCACCATCGCTAAGTATTGCCTATGTGATTTGTGTCACCGGCTACCTGGTCAGGAGTCACCTCCCTAATTCAGTTCTCTCCCTGCTAGAATCCCCACTTCCTCTCAGTTCTCTTGCTTCCATTTTACTCTCTACCTCCGTAGTCCACTTTCTAGGAAACGGGTGACAATTCCTTTTAATATAGGCAAAAGATCAAAAGATTCACTGGTTTACAATTTTCTAATGATTTGTCATCAAACTTAAATGAAAGCGCAAAACTTTTTTCCAATGGCCATGAAAGCTTACATGATAGGGAGCCTGACTCCCATCCTGAACTTGGCACCTAGATTTTACCTAAATTGGTACAACACAATCACCTTAGCCTTTTGTCTCTTCCTTCAACGTTCCAAGGTGACCTCCTGTTTAGGATCTTGCTATTCTCATTTGGTAATTACTTATTAATTCCTAATACAAGCAAGGAATTTTCTGAGTTCCTGTCATATAGCAGTAAATGAATTGAAAAAAATCCTTGTTTTCGTAAGTCATGTTTTACATGACATTTTGACTTTTAGAAGGCCTTCTAGTACCCATCATTTTACATCCTAATTGGTTAACTGTTGAAGTTTTCTTCATATACTTCTCTCATTGTCTGAAATTACTATGTTGTTTTATTTCTGTTTTTTCTATATCCCACCTCCTACCCTCCAATCACAACATAAGCCCCATCAGAAGGAAATGTTTTTTTTTGATTTTATATAGTATATTCCTGGAGGCCCCAGTGCTTAACAAGTTGTTAATAAACATTTGCTGAATGAATAAGTGAATTATTATATTTTGAATGAGTTAATAATATTTATAAATTATATATGATGTTATATTTGGTTCCTAAGCATCATTGAAACTTCTAAAGCATTATATAAATACTTTTACTATTTGGTAGGCTAAGGTGCCAGTTAACAAACTAGAAATAGTGTTGTGCAAGATGGCTTTCCTCTTTTTGCTCCTTTTTCCTTTCTTCTAACTCATAAGTCCAACAATATATTTGCTAATAAAAGTGGACTGCACTCATTATTTTTTTTTTTTTGTCTTTTTCATTTTTATTGGTACCAGGGATCAAACTCACGACTGCCTGCTTGCAAGGCAGGCGCTTATGCCGCTGAGCTAAATCCCCAGCCCCCTGCACTCATTATGTTTAAATTGTCATGTAATAATTAAATACATTTATGAAATACAATGTAGTAACTTTATAACAGGTTTTTAATATATATGATCAAATCCGGGTTATAATTTGTTTGTGCTCCACTAATGCATAAGTAAATAGCATGCAGAATATTTGTGTATAATTAACCTTCATATATGGTGCTTCCTTATCATGTACTTACTTAGGGAATGTGGGTTACCAATGTATGTATGTATATATATATACATATATGTATATATATATGTATATATATATATATGTATATATATATATGTATATATATATATGTATATATATATATGTATATATATAAATATCTGTGCAATATTTGTTTATTCCTTTTCTTGCTTACTCTTTCATAATATAAGCTAGGTTCTATCAACCTTTATTTCTTATGGTCATTATTTTGTCTTGTCCATCAAGGAATTCTAATGCTATAATTTCCTTAAAGGAAGAAATCTTTTAGAGTGGGAGAACTAATTTTTTACAGGGAATGTTGGGAAGGAAAACACTAGTTTCTGTGATACACTTTCTCAGTACAGTAGCTTACCGCTAACTTTCACTCATGGCAAGTCCAGTCCATGGCGGAACATGAGGTTGTGGTGTTCCTTGTCATGTGAGGGGTGTGTGTATGTTTGGATCCTGAATGCATGGCTTCCAAAAGACACTTTAATTTTTTTTTCTGGTACTGAGTACTGAAGTCAACTTACTCAGTGAGCTATATATCTACATTCCAAGGTTTAAAAAAATTTTTTGAGACAGGATCTCACTAACTCACTCAGGCTGGGATTGAACTTGGTTCCTTCCTGTGTCAGCCACCAAAGTGGTGGGCTTATAGGCATGTGCCATCACACCTGGCTTGAATGTTTTTTCAAATTATCCTGTACATTCCCATTGTGTGTCATTTTTCTGCACGTATATTGGTCACAACACAGTTACAAGGCTATCTGTGACTACATGGGAAACAGGAAAATGTAGTATACACATTTATATGAAAAATAAAGCTAAATCTATTTGACAAACAGTTAACTAAATCCTGTCACTGAGACATATTTCCTGGGCTAATACAAAATGTATATAGAGTTATATGAAAGATTGAGTAATCATCACTTATATATAAGGGATTTTACATAAGAAAAGTATTTTGAGAGGGATTAACCACAATGTTTTTTTACTGTAATAAATTTTAAAAAATTAAACACTGTATATTTTATACATACAAACATACACATGTAGTTCTTCTGTAGTGTGTCAGCATACTAAATCACAAAATAAACTTTCAGTATTTCTATTTTCAATCGAGATTTTTGTAACTTTTGGTATCAACTTGAACTGAAAATAGTTATGAATTAAAACTAGCAATAAAAAGATGTTAAATCTATCAACAGTAGATGTGCTATTTAAACTGTTTAAAAAAGGGATTACATCTTTTTGGAGTTGTGTGACGTTATCTGTATTCTCGAGTGACAGTGAATTTGGGGGCAGTTATTTCCTTTTTTGACTGTGCAGCACCTGGTAAGATCAGATATATTATAGTGACTTAGGGTGCCAGAGCCAGAAATGGTCAGGGGGTAGGTAGTGGAGGAAATTCTATTCTTTCATGGGAGCTTCCAAGTATTTTCAGGTCACCTTTCCATTTCTGCTCTCATGTTCTGTCAAAAGGAATCTAAGGATTTTATGAAGATTTATTGCCTCTTTGCCTAATGAATTGGGTTCTAGAGCCAGTTATTATGGGGTGGAATTCTACTTACTTTACAACAGCAAAACTCGTATTTTGTCTAAAGACCTGACTAGTCATCAGGTGCATTTAAATTAATTTGTAGTTAGTACCAGATTCAGTCGGAATAATATTAACTTCATGGTCATAGTCTGTTAAAGGCTGACCTATAGTTTGTTTCATGAGTGCTGCAATATTAAGAAGGAGCCACAAAGTTCTACCTCTGGAGATAACCATCTTGGCTATTCTTCTTATGTATTTCTCATGATAGTTTTAATATTCTCCTTCAAAAAGGAAATGAAACAAAATTTTGAAAGTGTAGGAGAATGGAAAAAATTCAGTCTTAACCAATTTATCATTGTAAACTTAGTCACCAGTCTCAAATAATATAAGAAATAAAAGTAGAAAGTATATTTTGAAATAAAATTTATTTTAAAATTTTAAATTACAGAACTGTTCAGGCATTCAAATTATGAAAATTAAAAACTTTTTTTGAACAATGTTTATAATCTGATTAACGTATTTCCTGAGAAATATGTAGCACTTTCTTTTTCATAATGTTCCGTGTGTTACAATTTGAGTTTAGTGTACTAGGATTTTAGTGTTAACAGGATTTGGTCAGTTGTAATGTTAGATTTATGGAATAAATTTTTATCATGAGAAATAGACTTTTAAAAAAATTTTATTTTAAAGAGAATAAAATGAAAGAGAACAGAACAAAGCAAATCAGAAC